TTCAAATAAATAAATAAATAAAATCTTTAAAAAGAGAAAATAGGCCGGCGCTGCAGCTCACTAGGCTAATCCTCTGCCTGCGGCGCCTGGCACCCCTGGTTCTAGTTCCGGTTGGGGCTCCAGATTCTGTCTCGGTTGTTCCTCTTCCAGTCCAGCTCTCTGCTGTGGCCCGGGAAGGCAGTGGAGGACGGCCCAAGTGCTTGGGCCTTGCACCCGCACGGGAGACCAGGAGGAAGCACCTGGCTCCTGGCTTCGGATCGGCGCAGCTCGCTGGCCATAGCGGCCATTTTGGGGGTGAATCACCAGAAGGAAGACCTTTCTCCCTGTCTCTCTCTCTCACTATCTAACTCTGCCTGTCAAATAAATTTAAAATAAAATAGCTTGAGTGTTGGAGCAGGTATTTGGTGCAGAAGTTAAGATGGTTTTTGGAATACTCATATCCCAGTTCCAGCTTCCTGCTAACAAGTGCACTGAGAGGTGATGGCTGAACTGCTTGTATCCCTGCCACTCATGAGGGAGATCCTAACTGAGACTTGAACTTTTGGCTTTGGTCTGGCCCAATACTGGTGTTTGGGAAGTGGGGCAGCAGATGAAAAATTCTGTCTCTGTTATTCTCTCTTTCCAAACAAAATGAAAATAAAATAAATAAAAATCTAAAAGAGATGCACTAGCTTAGGCTTGAAAAAAATAACCTATGTGTCTAAATAAGGAGATGCTTTTCCAACGAATACACTGATGTGTCCTTTTGAAAACTCTCTTATGAATATTAATGCAAAAGCCAAAATTAACACCTCATAATGCAATTGAAAAATATAACAAAATATACCCTAAAATATTAAACTTTCAGTTGCAAACAATTTTAACTATATACATGCATAGGCTCTTATATAGAAAGAATTTGAAAATAGCAAGCTATTGAAGAAGAAAGTAGAAAAAATCTTTTTTGTTACTGAATAAAATTTTGGAAAGAAATATAGAATTCTGACTGTGGCAGACTCCAAAGATGACCTGCAATGAACAAAGCCTCTGGAGTTCACTCCCTGTGTGGTCTCCCTGTCATGTCGAATCTTGGCGGCCCACTTGGTTTGACCCACAGAACGTGGCAGAAGTGAGCTTATGGAAATTCCAAAATGGCCTGGACGTCAGCTTCGGCTTCTATCGTATCCTCTTTGAGTGCTGGCCCTTGGATCCTCACGACCATGCTCCGGGGAAAGTTCAGGAGCTGGCTGGAGAGGGTTTGAGAGAGAACAGAGGTCCCCAGCACCAGGGGCCAGTCATATGAACGAGAGAGTTTCAGTCCACGAAAACCGCACAGGGCTGGAGAGCATCTGATCACCACAGAAGGCTGAGAAATCACACAAGGGTTTGGTGTGGAGTGTTAGGCAGCAACAGCTAATTGAAATAATTTGCTGCTATCACAGACATAGTATATTACATACGGCTCCAAAACCTAGTGACTTCAAACAGAAAATTACTGCATCTTAAATTATGTGCCTTGATTGTGTGGAGTTTTTATTGACCTTGCTTGTGGTTTCTCATATAATGGCAGTTAGATAACTGTGGGCCAAAATGCAGCCCCCGCCCCCCAAACCACACTCACATGAATGACTGTGGGTCCTGGCTGCTGGCTGGGAAATCCACTGGGGCGCTCAGTGAGGGGTCTTTGGTGTGCCCACAGGCCTTTGCTCGCAGCTGCAGGGCTCCCTCTCTACATAGTGGCTGGATTTGATTTCCAGCAAATGTTCAAGAGGACAAGTGGAAATCCCAGTCCTCCTAAGGAACCTGCAAGTTCCAACAGAGAGAGAAAGGTAAGGGTGTGGGGTGGGGGTTGAACTTGCCCTTTTCTAAGGAGCCCACTTCTGAGATAAGGGCATCAGTCCGTTCACCAGAGCAGGGCCCTCACGACGCAGTAGCTCCCACCTCTCAACGCTGCCACACTGGAGGTCGCCTTGCAGCACATGCACTCTGGAAGACACACAAACCTCAGCATAAACCTTCCGGCAGCCGTTACACTCCTGTATTTCCCACGCAGACGCGCACTCATTCTCTCACTTCGAAGTTGCTTCCCGTTAGGCTCCTCTACGGAGTATGAGGCTCCCAGCATCTACATCAGGGATTCCTCAGCTGTATTCTCTCAGGTTTAGCTCCTCTGGGGAGATTTCTTGATCACAGACACCTGTGAACTAAACCACAGCACACTATGGCGAGAAAGGGACAGGATACTTGCAATAGACAACCTATTGGAACAGACGGGGAGGGGCGGGAAGCTCGTAGAGTCAGGGGTCCTAGCAAGCCGAAATTCAACAGGCACGTGTTGCCATTTCCTCCTGCTCTGGAGCGGGAGCATTTCTTGGCTGGGTCCCAGTTCCATTCCCCGGGAGTAGCTCTTCTTGACTTCGGTCTACCTTCCGACACAGCTACACATCTTTCCCTTGTTATAACTGGTGGCTGTGTTGTTTGCAGTTGAGTGGCTGGGTCTCTTGCCCTGCTTCTCCTTGCAGGTGGCTGGAGGTAAGAGGCCTCTTTTTATTTTGCTGTCTTTCCGCACTTACGGTCCAACCTTGCACTAAAGACTGTGGCTTCCAGTGTAGTGTAAAATCTATGGGTGTGAAATCCCAGTCCTCTGTCTTAGCCTGAGCCCTACCCACAAACCCATTTGCCATAGGTCCCTCTATTTGAGTGGAGAGTCAGGCTGCTACGTGATAGGTTCTTCTTTTACATAAGTGACTTTCTTTTTTCTTTCTTTTTTTTTTTTTTTTCAAAGATTTATTTACCAATTAGAAAGGCAGAGTTACAGAGAGGCAGAAGCAGAGAAAGAGGGAGGTCCTCCATCTGCTGGCCCACCCCCAAAATAGCTACAATGGCGGAAGGTGTTCAGATCCAAAGCCAGGAGCCAGGAGCTTCCTCCAGGTCTCTCACGCGGGTGCAGGTGCCCAAGGACTTGGGCCATCCTCTATTGCCTTCCCAGGCCACAGCAGAGAACTGGATCAGAAGTGAGGCATCTGGGACTCAAACTGGTGTCCATATGGGATGCCAGCACCCACCAGGCTACAGCACTGGCCTTGTGATAGATTCTTAAAAACGCCATTAATTAACTGAGGACTTCATCAATTCAGAAGATCCCGTGATTACACCCTTGATGCTGAGTTTTGCTTTTTATCTTGGCGATATGTTTTATATATTGTCTCTATGAATTTAATCCCCCCCGAGGCTCTTTCTTACTTCAAGAGTCTTTTGTTGTTTATAAACCCTGAGAATGAGTAACCATTTGTTTTCTACCACAGCAAGTCCCGAGATGGAAGATTTCTTCTGAATTCTTTTTGAAAACTGAGAAAATCCTCGCTTTATCCTGGGAAGCTGAAAGACATTAGCTGGAGCCGGCACTTGCAGACTCCTCAGTCGTCCCTTTATAATCCACATTATCGCAGAGGGCAGGGACGCTCACTGCTCCACCCACACATAACTTGCATCTCTTCCTTGCCTCCAGCAACAACTCCCTCCGTGCTCTTCAAGTTTGCCAATTTCTAAAGGTCTTGTAAGCTTCTACCTGATTGTTCATCCTAAAACCAATACCATACATTTTAGAATTTTGTTATGGCAAGGCTCAAGTTCTAGGCACTAATTTTGTTTTAGATACCTATTGCTGCATTAAAAAACGAGTCTTGCTATCTCAAAAACTTAGGGGCTAAATGCAACAATTCTATGTGGTGACTAGGATACACTGGGCAGTTCTTCTGGTAGTCTTACTTGGTATCCCTCATATCAGAGTGGCTGGGGTTGGAGTTTCCTGGAAGCTAAACTGGAGAATTCAAGATGGCTTTTTAGCCATATGTCCTTGAGCTCCTCCATATGCCCTCATGGAAGTTTTCCTGCTGTTGGCTTTAAAGATGGGAGGAACCATGTGGCAAGGAACTAAGAGTGGCCCCTAGGAGCTAAGCATGGCCCTGGCTGATAACCAGCAAGAGAACTGGGACCTCAGTCCTACTATTTATTGTGCTGGGTAAGGCACTGCTGGGGACACCCACATCTCAGTCTGGTTTTGCTCTTGCGTGCAGCTTCCTGCTAGTGTGGGTGATGGCTCAAGTCCCTGGATCCCTGTCACCAATGTGAGAAACCTGGACTGGGTTCCTGGCTCCTAGTTTCAGCTGGCCCAGCTCTGGCTATTGCAGGCATATGGGGACTGAACCAGCAGAAAGAAGATTCATTCTCTCTCTCTCTCTCTCTCTCTCTCTCTCCTTCCCACCCTCCCTCTCTCTCTCTCTCTCTCTCTCCTTCCCAACCTCCCTCCCTCTCTCTCTCTCTCCTTGAAATAAAGAAATAAATTTTTATTTAATAAATGAGCTGGGTCCCACACTGTGGCATAGTGGATAAAGCCACTGCCTGAGGTGCTGGCATCTCAAATGGATGATGGTTTGTGTCCCAGCTGCTCCACTTTTAATCCAATTCCACGCTAATATGCCTGGGAAAGAAGTGGAGGATGGCCCAAGTACTGCACCCATGTGGGAGACCTGGAAGGAGCTCCTAGCTCCTGGCTTCAGATCGGCACAACTCCGGCCATTGTGACCATTTGGGGAGTGAACTGGTGGATGAAAGACACCTCTCTTTCTCTTTCTCACTATCTCTCTCTCTTTTTTAAAAAGATTTATTTTATTTATTTGAAAGACAGAGTTACCGAGAGAGGTAGAGACAGAGAGGCCTTCCATCCGCTGGTTCACTCCCCAGATGGCTGCAATGGCCAGAGCTGCGCCAATTTGAAGCCAGGATCCAGGAGCTTCTTCCAGGTCTCCCACGTGGGTGCAAGGGCCCAAGGACTTAGGCCATCTTCTTTCTGCTTTCCCAGGCCATAGCAGAGAGCTGGATCGGAAGAGGAGTAGTCGAGACTAGAACCCGCGTCCATATGGGATGCCGGCACTTCAGGCCAGGGCATTAATCCACTGTGCCACAGCGCTGGCCCCAGCTCTCTTTTTCTCTCTCTGCCTTTAAAATAAATAAAATGAATCTTTAAAAAAGTTTTCTTTATTTATTTGAAAGTCAGAGTTACATAGAGAGAGAAGGAGAGGCAGAGAGAGAAACAGGTCTTCTATCCACTGATTCACTCCCCAGCTGGCCGCAACAGCTGGAGCTGTGCCGATCTGAAGCCAGGAGCCAGGAGCTTCTTCCGGGTCTCCCACACTGGTGCAGGGGCCCAAGGACTTGGGCCATCTTCTTCTGCTTCATTAGGCCATAGCAAAGAGCTGGATTGGAAGTGGAACAGCGGGACTCAAACCAGAGTCCATATGGGATGCCAGCACTGCAGGCAGCAGCTTTACCCACTATGCCACAGCACCACCCCCACCCTCCAAAAAAAAAAGTTTTTTTAAGTGAGCTGAATTCTTACCAAAGCTTGAGTGAGCCAGAAGAGGATCAGGAACTCCAATGAGAATGTACCCACTCCACATCTTGACTTCACCTTGTGAGAATCTGAGCAAAGAAACCAATCGCACAGTAGTCTCTAGGTATCTGAAGGATCCGTTCTGGAGCACCCCAACCCCCTTGCTATGGATACAAAAATCCCTGGATGCTCGGGCCTTTATATAATATGGGGTACTGTTTGCATATAATCTCTGCACATTCTCCCACATGTTTGAAATAAACCCTACCTTATTTTAATACCTAATCTGCTTGTACAATGTAATGCTATGTAAATATTTGTTATACTCTGTGGTTTAGAGAATAATGACAAAGAAGGATAGTCTGTATGTATTCATCACAGACACAATATTTTTTCGAATATTTTTGGCTTAGAGATTGTTAGATCCATGGATATAGAACCTTAAGGTATGGAGGGTCAACTGTACTGTGCCTGGATTTCCGAGCTACAGATCTGTGAGCTGATAAATGAGTGTTGTTTGAAATGACTAAGCTTGGGGTAACTTGTTATGCAGCAATAGAAGACTAATTCAATACTAGCTTCCATAAGACTTCAATTATGATCTCATGTATTTGAAATTAAACACACAAATACTGCAGAGCCTGTATAAGGGAAAATGTGGGCTCTTATTGAACATTGGCTATTATTGACTTAGACTGAACATAAGGTCTGGCACAAACATATCACACAAGAAACTTTTTGAGTGTGATAGAATCTTACTCATTTGGTAGAAAGTATAGCAAAATCAGCTAGCGTGACAGTAGAACGTTTACACAGAAATCCAAACATGAGCACATTTCAAGAAGTTTGTGGAAAAATGAAATAAAAATATGAGTTTATTTTGGGTAGCTAAACATGAGAATAGAATTGTGACCTTAACAATCATTGAGCTCTTACTGTTGGAGCAGAGTCAGACTCCATAATACGACGTGTATCATGCTACACATTTTCCATGAACCTTTTGAAGCCCTATGATATTAATAAGCATCAGTGAGAGGATAACACACAAAACCAAGTGATCAAAGTTATAGTTGATGTGGTGAATAAATGAATAAGTCAGAAACATTAGCTATTTTAGATAAAATCCCTGTTGCCAACAAGCTATATAACCCAGATGATCCTATCTGAACTTTTAGATTTCTAAAATGCGAAGATTTCTATCCTTGAACACTTGGGGAATTTTGTCCAGTAGATAGTAGCCCTGGTAGAATGATGTTTGGATATTCTCATAGTTGGTGCCAGTTTGATGATTCGCTAGGAGGTCTCACATGACTCAATAGCAGGGTACACGCGTAGATAAAGTTCCCTACCCCAGTGAAAACAACAAGAAAAAAGACGTACGTTGGTGGAATACAAGTAGGTCAGGAAGGGCTTCTGAGTCCTTCTTCATCTGAGGCACCGAGGGTGTGCTTTCTCTCCTGCAGTGACATTTGTGGAGTGGCTATGCCTCGGAGAGCTCACTGAAGTCGCAGGCTCTGAGTCTTTAATGGAGTGTTGACCACGTTATGTATGTGCTGCTACTCAGTCAGCCATGGTGACCGCAATGCAGAGCCTCCGCAACGAAAACAGGCACACCTTATCAGTCTTTGTATTTGTGCAAAGCACCTGACAAGCTGCTGTGGCATGGTCCACTGCTCCAGGTGCAAACAGCAAAATCATCAGTCACTAACGTGAAGACCATTCCAAGGGCCACATTCCCAGGGGTTGGCCAAAGGTCAGTCTTAGATCCAGGTTTCCTCAAAGGGGTACAAAGAGTAGCAACCAGGTCTGTGTTGACACTTTGTTTATCTGTCTGTGCATGTGTGAGGATCTATACATACATGAACTTCAAAGCACTCATGGAAAATGAAATTAGAGAATAAATTTATTTTTGGTTGAAAAAATTTGAAATCTATGCATAGTTTTTTCATAAAATACATTTTCCAGGAACTTTTTGGAAATCCTTCATATATATCAGAAAAGTGTTATTTATGTGAGTATAGACAACACTTTATATAAAATTATATATGACTATGTATAAACGCTATATATAAAATATATATAATGTAACATCTATTGAACATCTACATATATCACATTTTAAACAGTGCTGGATTAATGCAGAAAAGTTAAAAATTATTAATATTAGACTACAAAACGATTTAACAAAGATTATGTTTGAAAACTGTATCTAAAACACAATTGGAAAGCCAAAACAAAAACTCAAATACTGGTAGTAATTTCTTTTGGAAACTGTTAATGTGTGAACAAATTCTAAAATACAAATATACGCAAAAAATGTACTTTTGAAAAAATAAATTTATTAAATTCAGAATTAATAACAGTATTAATTTGAAACTACATTTTTAGAGATATAAGCATTTTGGTGATGTAAACATCTTCATGTTATAAGCAAAAGAAGGTAGGAAATAAAATACCATGTACATAATGCCTTTGATGATTTCAACAAAGACACTAAGAAAATCTTTGAAGAAAAACAATCATGGTTATGATGTATAATTTATAAGAAACACAGAAGAGCCCATGGATATTAATACTAAATTCTGTGTCTAGAGAACACTGGCATTTTATGAAGAGTTTCCTTAGCTTTAAAAAGTCACAGGATCAGTCTCATCCATGAGCCAAAACTAAATTCCAAATGAATTCCGTTTATATTGAATATAACAGCACTGTTTTTAAAAAGGTTACTACATATTTATAAAACCACAGCCATCACAAAGCTAGGTGACCAATGTGTCTGCAGAATATCTGTAACTGTGTTAGCATTTACAATTTAAATTGCCTGCGGACCATAATGAGAAATGTTAAATTTTATGGGCAGAAATGTGTACCTTCAAAAAGTCTATTACAAGTGCCACTGTATTAAAGCAAAATTTTGAAAGATACTTTCCTGGATGCATTCCAAAAACAGGAAATATGTAACTTTGCCAAAACTGGTCAGCAATAGAGAATGTGACTCCTCAAAGTTAAAACATATCAAAACTGACATAATGTCTGCACTATCACAAGAATGTCCAATCAAGTAACCATTTCTTCAAGAAAAAGGTATAAGAGCAAGTAAACAATGAAGTCATCAACATGAATTTGTTTCTATAAAAGAAATATGTATAACAACATTATAACAAATTGCCATAGTCTAATACCTTGAATGCTTATTATTGTAATTAAAATTTAGACTTTCATGTTGACTTAATTTATATAAAACACAGAATGTCCATGTTTGTGCAGTTATTGTCATCCCTTCCTCCACTCTCCCACTTCCAATTCCAGGGCCATGCCATTGGCATCTCCAGCCTAATTTTTTGATGGGACTAATTTCCAAACATAGTGTGATTTTCTTCAGGAAAATTCACCAAAAAAATAAAGATACTTTAATAGTTCTGTGCTTATTGAAAGCAAGAAGGGTAATACAGAAGAACAAATCGGAACCGTCGTTTTTCCAATTTAGTAGGGGTGGAAAAATACCCTTCCTTCTTTCTTGTCATATGTAAAAAACCCTGCAGATTATCCTGCAACAAAAACTTCATGGAAAATGGAATTAAAAGGTAAGTGTACATTGGTGCAAAAAATATTGAAATCCATACACAAGTTTTTTAATAATATGCATTTCTGTAGACTTTTCAAGGTTCCCTGTACTCATGGATTTAAAATTGGTTTGCCCCCAAATAAACTTATCTTTAATCTCATTTTTCATGAACACTTTAAATTCCCTTCATATGTATAAAGCATAAATACACTAGAATAAATTACTTAACATTTTAAAATTTTATTTATTTATTTTCATTTTTATTTGAAAGGCAGAGAGGGAGAAAGATCCTCCATCTGTGGTTCACTGCCCAAATGCTTGAAACGACCAGCACTGGCCAGACCAAAGCCAGGATCCAGGAACTCAATCCAGTTCTCCCATGTGGGTAACTGAGACCCAAGTACTTGAGTCATCAGCTGCTGCTTCCCAGGGTGCATGTTAACAAGAATGCTGGAACTGGAAGCAAAGCCAAGACTCAAACCAGGCACTCTGATATGAGGTGTATACATCCCTAGCGGGGTCTTTTATCAGGAATACACATTTTTATTTATTTATTTATTTTTTTTTTTTGACAGGCAGAGTGGACAGTGAGAGAGAGAGACAGAGAGAAAGGTCTTCCTTTGCCGTTGGTTCACCCTCCAATGGCCGCCACAGCTGGCGCGCTGTGGCCGGCGCACTGCTCTGATCCAAAGGCAGGAGCCAGGTACTTATCCTGGTTTCCCATGGGGTGCAGGGCCCAAGGACTTGGGCCATCCTCCACTGCACTCCTGGGCCACAGCAGAGGGCTGGCCTGGAAGAGGGGCAACCGGGGCAGAATCCGGCGCCCCGACCGGGACTAGAACCCGGTGTGCCGGCGCTGCTAGGTGGAGGATTAGCCTAGTGAACCGAGGCGCCGGCTAGGAATACACATTTAAGTGGCAGGAAAGATGCCACTTGGGATGCTGCCAATCCTAAGTGGGAGTGCCTAGATTCAAGTCCCAGCTCTGTTCCTGACTCCAGCTTCCTGCTGGTAGGCAACCTGGGAGGGTGGAGGGAGGTGGGGTGGTAGCAGGGGATGGTGCAATTTCTTGAGTCTCTGCCGCCCACATGGATCCAGATTGAGTTCCTGGCTCCTGGCTTTGGCCTGGCTCAGCCCCAGCTGTTGAAGAAAATGCACTCCAGAGGGAGGCAGCATTTGAAATACTCTAATCAGGTGACCTCACTCCAGAGGCTACTGTTACAGGCTTCAGTGATTTCCATCTGCACTGTAAGGATTGTTTATCAGAATGAGAGCTCTGAAATTAAATTTTTATTGTTTAAAGAGCTGGCTTTCAAGTGGGGGCATTTGCTTAGAAGTATTACACAGGGGCCGGCGCTGCAGCTCACTAGGCTAATCCTCCGCCTGCGGTGCTGGCACCATGGGTTCTAGTCCCGGTTGGGACACCAGATTCTGTCCCGGTTGCTCCTCTTCCAGTCTAGCTCTCTGCTGTGGCCCGGGAGTGCAGTGAGGATGGCCCAAGTGCTTGGGCCCTGCACCCGCATGGGAGACCAGGAGGAGGCACCTGGCTCCTGGCTTTGGATCAGCGCAGTGCGCCGGCCGTAGCGACCATTGTGGGATGAACCAACGGAAAAAGAAAGACCTTTCTCTCTGTCTCTCTCTCTCACTGTCCATTCTGCCTGTCAAATAAAAAAAAGAAAAAAGAAAGAAAAAATAAATAAAAATTTTAAAAAAAGAAGTATTACACAGGAAGAGGTTGCCTTTGCCTGAACTGGGATATAAGAATCTGATGAGCACAGCTGTCCATGCCTTTCAGAATTCTTGTACCAGGGCTTCAAGTAAGACTTGTGCATGCCACTTCATAAGATCACCTGCTCTCTCTAGATTAGCTAAATTGGACTGCTAGAATAACATCACATCCAGGGAAATTCTCATGCGTGGCAGTCACTGAGCTAATTATGCGGCTGTTACTGTGCTAGCTTGCTAAATGCTGTTTGTTTGTATAGCATAATTCAACTCAGATTTGTGTGTAAGGCTGTGTGGGAGCATCTCTAACTTTCTCCTCCCTTTAGTCCCTGGAGGCTACTGACATGTCCACAAAATAACCTATCTCAAATGGCTGGACTGGCGTCAGCCAGTGTCAATCAAAGGAAGAGGCTTGTTTTGGAAGTATAGGTGCAGAATGATTGAGGAAACTTATGCTGTTTATCGATTAAAGCAATACATTTATTTATTTATTTATTTATTTTTATTTATTTTTTTACAGGCAGAGTGGACAGTGAGAGAGAGAGAGAGAAAGGTCTTCCTTTACTGTTGGTTCACCCTCCAATGGCCACTGCGGCCCATGCTGCACTGATCCAAAGCCAGGAACCAGGTGCTTCCTCCTGGTCTCCCATGAGGTGCAGGGCCCAAGCACTTGGGCCATCCTCCACTGCACTCCCGGGCCACAGCAGAGAGCTAGACTGGAAGAGGGGCAACTGGGACAGAATCCGGTGCCCCGACTGGGACTAGAACCAGGGGTGCCAGCGCCGCAGGCGGAGGGTTAGCCTATTGAGCTGCGGTGCCGGCCCAATACATTTCTTAATTTATGAAAATGAATAGAGAGCCAAAGTCAGCAGGCAGTCGAAGAAAACACATGGGATTCCTTTAGCATTGCTGTGAAGATTAAATCAGATCATGTGTGTTAAATGCTTAGTCATTGGCTAAGTGCTCTGGAAGTAGCGATTATCACTTTAATAAATACAAGGCCTGAGAGAAAGTCAATAGAGACCCTACAGTTTCATTTATTCAATGATCCTCATGCAAGCAAGTTTGATACATTTTTAAAAATTCTCCCTATATATGGGGCCGGCGCCGTGGCGCAGTAGGTTAATCCTCCGCCTGCAGCACTGGCATCCCATATGGTTGCTGGTTCTAGTCCCAGCTGCTCCTCTTCCAATCCAGCTCTCTGCTATGGCCTGGGAAAGCAGTAGAAGATGGCCTGAGTCATTGGGCCCCTGAACCCAAATGGGAGACCCAGAAGAAGTTCCTGGCT